AGGCAGGCATTGCTAACTTCTGGTCTATCCTCTGGGAGAGACAACTCAATGCTCCATAAATGGAAACCTGGGATGAGCAGAATTTAGGATGGGTTTGGAAATGGAACATTTATTGAGTATTCAGTTTCTCCTTTGCCTAGTTCCTTGCTTACAGCTTCTTGTCTGGAATTAGACAAATGATTCATGTATGATTTCCCCTTCTCTGCGGTCTGATGCACTCACCAGGATAGCCTTCGAGTCCATAGGCTTGCCACTTGCTGACGGGCTGAAGTCCTGCTCTGTGTGCATCATGCTCACTGACTGAGGACACATTTAGCTGAGTTCTGACCACCTGGGAGAAAAAAGTAGATGTCAGAGGGCTAAAGCAATTTTACAGATCCACTCTGGGAACCTCTAACCCCCCAAGACATTTCTGGTATATCTGGGGCAAAGCTAGTAGTCAGAAGTCTACTTACTAGATTTAGGAACTTAGATGAGTCACTTAACCTCTTAGAACCGATTTCCTTGTCTACATACTAAAAAACACCAGTTAGCTATATAAAATTAAGAAAAGCCGTATAGTTAAATCTTTCACGCTACCACTAAGTAGGCAAATTTGGACTTTCAAGAGTATGTTTTCCTAATGTCATACCTCTGTGATTTTTTATACAACTATGAATCACAAGGAAGATCATAAAAGAACGGATACATCTGAGTTATGGTGTTGGAGGAGAATATTAAAAGTACCATGGACTGTCAAAAGAACAAACCAATCTGTGTTGGAAGTATAACCAGAATGCTCCCTGGAAGCCAGGATGGCCAGCTTTTCTCTCTCATACTTCGGACATAATGTCAGAAGGGAACATTCCTTGGAGAAGGATATCATGCTTGGTAAAATGGTAGGTCAGAGAAAAAGAGGAAGACTCCAAACAAGATGGACTGGCACAGTGGCAGCAACAATGGGCTCAAACGTAGCAACGACTGTGAGGTTGGCTCAGGACCAGGCAATGAATGATTGGTTCTGTTGTGCATAGGGTCGCTATGAGTCAGTATTCGACAGCACCTAACAACAATAAAACAAATCACAAAAGATGTTTGGTTTCCTAGAATACCTTGAGCATCAATGTTGTTTTTTTTACTTTGGTTAGAATTAACAATGTTGCTTCTGAGGTAGTTATGTACAGTCAGTGTTTAGAGAACAGCTGTGAGGAATCAAAGGCAGGCAAAGGGTGAAAGAATGAAAACAGTGCTGTAACAAGACACAAAAAATGCTCTAATAAAACGTTGTTATTGTTGGTAAGTGCCGTTGAGTCTTTCTGACCCATAGCAACCCTGTATAGGGTTTCCGAGAAGCAGCTGGTGAGCTTGAACTGCCAACCTTGCAGTTCAATGGCTTTGCAGTCTGGTGCATTAACCCACAGCGCCACACCAGGACTCTCATGTTGCTATAATTTTTTGCTCTCTTTTAGATGAAACTTCAAACTGAAGCTCCGAACTTTAGCCTTTCTTAATTATGTAGAAATAAACTATCTCAAGGGCTGATCAAGTTTTCTTTACACATATTTTATGGATGGCTCATTAAATTGGTTAAGAAATCCAATACACAATCACTAAAGCAAAAAAAAAAAAAAAATCTATAAATAATAAACTTAGGCTCTGGCTTTCCTTGTTGTTGTTGTTAAGTGCCACCGAGTTGATTCCGACTCATAGTGACCCTGTACACAGTTTCCAAGGAGCAGCTGGTGAGTTTGAACTGCCGACCTTGCAGTTCAAACGGCTCTGCAGTCTGGTGCATTAACCCACAGCACCACACCAGGACTCCTTAGAACATATCAAATGTTTCCTTTCAGACTTACCATCTTTTATCCTGTCAACTACCTAAGTGTGGAGATTTTCTGACAAAAAAACCAAGTGGCTGACAGTTGGTTAAAAAAAAAAAAAATTCCAACTTGTTGCCACTAACAGATTCCAACTCCTAGTGACCACATATTTTCAATGGGTGTAATCTTAAGTAAGAGTCCCTGGGTGATTTAAATGGGTAAGTACGTCGAAAAGCTCAACCCATCCAATCTGACCTCAGCAAAGAGCTGTTAATCTGCTTCTTAAAGAGTGCACCCAAGAAAACTATGAACTGCAGTTCTACTCAGGAACATGTGGAGATCGCTATGAATTGGCATCAACTCCACGGCAATGTGTTCTTTAAAAAAAAAAAAAAAAAAGATTAGGTGGATTTAAACTGCCAACCTTTCAATTTATAGTCAGTTAGTGGTCAAACACAAAACCACTGTGCCACAGCACATATCGTCACACAGATCTATCTTCTCTATCATACGCTGCCACAGCACACATCGTCACACAGATCTATCTTCTCTATCATACGCTGCCACAGCACACATCGTCACACAGATCTTCTCTATCATACGCTGCCACAGCACACATCGTCACACAGATCTATCTTCTCTATCATACGCTGCCACAGCACACATCGTCACACAGACCTATCTTCTCTATCATACGCTGCCACAGCACACATCGTCACACAGATCTATCTTCTCTATCATACGTTGCCACAGCTCACATCGTCACACAGATCTATCTTCTCTATCATAGGCTAAACTCAAACCCCTAAGCTTTTTAAAAAAAAATGTTTTTTGTGCTTCTTCCCTTGTTACAAGGTGCCATTGGGATGGCACTCACAGCAATCCAACGTACAACAGAATGAAATACTGCCTGTTCTGCGCCATTCCTCACAAGTGTTTGTTTGTTTCATCTCATTGTTGCTGTCACTGTGTCAATCCATCTCACTGGTAGTCAGCCTCTTTTTTGCTGATCCTCCATTTTACTAAGTATGGTATCCTTCTCCAGGGACTGGTCTCTCCTGATAACATGCCCGAAGTATAAGACAAGAAGTCTGGCCATCCTGACTTCTAAGGAGCACTCTGGCTGTACTTCTTCCAACACAGATTTGTTTGTTCTTCTGGCAGTTCATGGCACTTTTCATTTTCTTCTCCAATACCATAATTCAAAAGCATAGATTTTTCTATGGTCTTCTTTCCTGGCCAAGCTATTAACCATTGGGTTCCCCATTGCTCTGATCAGGTGTCTTGTAATAGCAACTTTCTAATTTGCTACTTTTAATGTGCTCTGCATGAGAGGCAGTAAACACCCAAGTTTTCATACTGAGTAGGAGTCCTGGTGTGGTGTTGTGGGCTAATGTGTGCCAGACTGTAAAGCCATTTGAACTGCAAGGTCGGTGGTTCAAGCTCATTAGCTGCTCCTTGGAAACCCTACACAGGATCACTATGGGTCGGAACCGACACAACGGCACTTCACAACACAACAACAACATATGAATACTTGGATATTTAATGAAAACTTGGGTATTTAGTAGTTAACACATACTGTACTTACTGAATGCTTACTACATTGTAAGGTCATTAGATCATAGTTTTGACAATGGACTGCTAAACTGAAGGAGTTAGTTCAAACTCACCCAGCAGCCAAGAAAAGAAAACCCTAGAAGTCTACTCTGTAATACACTGTGAGACATAACTGATTGTAATGCAAGGGGCTAATCATGTTTTAGGTACGATAGTACACATACAAGGTCCTGTTTCCAGCTGGCTCACATTCTAAAACTATGTTAATATTATGGTCAAATAAGAGTAAAATGAACTGAAGGAAGGCGAGAGGCTCCTCAGGAGTCAAGTCTATTACCCTGTGGGTGCAGACTTTGTTATTTTGACAACTCTGCAACGATTTTTACTAACAAATGAAGTTTCTGAGAAGTTGAGCACTACATAAAAAAGGTGGTACTACAGAATTCCAATGGAGTCCTGGTGATGCACAGTAGGTTAATGTGCTGGACTGCTGACCTTTAAGGTCAGTGGTTCAAGCTCACCAGTCGCTCTTCAGAAACCCTACACAGGGTGGCTATGGGTCAGAACAGATTCGACGGCACAAAACAACAGTATTCCAATATTGAGAGTTTGGAAAACTTGGATAGAATGCCTCATCATATGTAGACAACACCAAGGCAAAGAAGGCATTCTGTGATTAAAGGATTATAAAGAATTACACACAGCATTATCATTGCGGCTTTCTCTCACTCTTTACTGCCCGAGTCCTGTATGTTCACTTTCTTAAATTTCCATGGGAACGGGCATGATTTCCAAATCTACTCGTGTTTAGCTTTCAATCTGCAGGCATTATCTTGGAATTCTCCATGTCCTCTTTAGAAAACAGGGTACGGTTTTATGGGCAATTGCTTGTCTGATAAAGGAGCCCTGGTGGCTTGGTGGGTTACATGTTCCGCGGGAGAAAGGTGAGGCTTTACGCTCCCGTATAGACTTACAGCCTCGCAAACCCTCCCGCTGCCCTCGGAACCGACCCCACCGCACACACACCATCAGATATTGTCTGATGAGGGGAACATCAGAACCAATCTCTAGGATTGATTTGTCCATGCCGAACTAGTCTAAAGTCGGCGAGGAACTTCGGCGAAGTTTTGGTATAAGTCGAAGAGCTATAAATGGGCTTTTAACTAAAGGGACACAAACAAATTCCCAGGTAGCTTTTCACCGAGGCCGTAGGGAAACACGGCGACGCTTCGTGGGCAGTTAAGCTCTGAGCTCGAGGAAGCAGAGACAGCTTAAGAAACACCGGTGTGTAAGTAAAAAGAGGCAGGGAGCCTGAAGCCCTTCCGAGAGGCGCGCGCCGCTCCTCGCTCGGTACCTTGTGGGCACCGGGACCTGCACCCCGGGCTGTGTGGGCCGCTGAGAAGTCGATGACCGCTCCCAGATCCGCAGTTCCGGGACGGCTCTGGCGGTAGAAGCGGAAAAGTTTCCTAAAGGCGTCCTCCCCCGGCTCTGCTGCCAGCGTTACCGCAGAACCTAAGACCGCCGCCATCTTCCCCATCTCGCTGCTTTGCCTCTTCTAGCCCGGAAGTAAATTCCCAGACTCCCGCATGGCATCTTCTTCCGGGGTCGCGGCCCCAGGTCCTGAAGGTTCCTTAGTCAAAGATGGCGGCTTCCGTAGTGAGAGGTGCTTCTGCTCTACGTACGAGCATTCGCCGACCCATTGCTTTTGTCAGGAAAATTCCTTGGACTGCGGCCTCGAGTGAGTGATGGAAAAGAGAGAGGGGTGGAATTTTATGTCCGAGCGGTCTTCCAACGCTCGACTTCTTGAGTCAGCGTGCTGGCTGCGCTAGGAGCCTCCTCCAGTGTTAGGCAATGAGAACATTCTTTGTGTTTGCTGTTAAAGAGACCTAGTAGAGCTTTGGGGGCGCGGATTCATGTTGGTGCTTTTTCGAGGTGATTTTGTGGAAAAGTTTTGTTAATAGGGAACTTTCAGACGTATGGTTTCGGATGTATTTTGACAGCAGGAATAACATGATGATGCAACGGATAAGTTGCTAATGTAAAGGTTAGAGGCACTTCAGAAGAAAAGCCTGGCGATTTGCTTTTAAAGAATCATCCATTGGAAATCCTATGGAGCACAGTACTATTTGTACCCACATGGGGTTACCATGAGTCAGAAGTAACTCAACTGCAACTGTTTATTATATTATTATTATTATCTACTGCAGTGGGAGATGGGATCAACGGGGCAAGATTGGAGCCGGGGAGGCAAGCTAAGATTCAGTTTAAATAATTTAGGTCAATGGTACTAGCCAGAATCAGGGCGGTGGGAGAAGGAATGAAGACCCAGGGGCAGGTCAGGTCTACTTATCATAAACAAAAGACAAACTTGACAGCGCTTCTGGATGGCATCTGTGATGGAGGAATCCGGAATGGGGAACAGGAAGGAGTGACCTAGGTGTTTAGCATGGGTGAATTGTATAGTTAGAACTCAGGAGGAGCTGGTGGAGAGTGGTGTTACTGTTGTTAAGTGCCATCGAGTCATTTCCAACCCATAGTAACCCTGTGGATTTCCAAGGAGCAGCTGGTGAGCCTGAACCACCAACCTTGCGGTTCAAACGGCTTTGCAGTCTGGCACGTTAACCCACAGCGCCACACCAGGCCTCCAGGTGGAGAATTTGTTGTTGTTGTTAAGTGCCGTCGAGTCGGTTCCGACCCATAGCGACCCTGTACAGGGTTTCCGAGGGTGTAAATCCTTACGGGAGTAGAAAGCCTCATCTTTCTCCCGCGGAGCGGCTGGTAGTTTCGAACCGCTGACCTTAAGGTTCGCAGCCCGATTCGTAACCACTACGCTACCAGGTGGAGAATAGATGAGCATTAAAGTTTGGATGTGTTGAATTTGAAAAGTCTTTCAGATCTAGGTCAAGCAGTTGGACGGAGAGGTTGTGTAACATCGTGATTGAGAGGTGGATTCGGAAATTAGACTGCTTGGGTTAGAACCCCAACTTGACTGTTTATTATTGTTTGTGTTGTTAGGTGCCGGTTGAGTGGGTACTCTTCAGAGCAATCTTATGCACAACAGAACCAAAAACTGTCCAGTCCTTTGCCAATGGGCTTAAGCCCATTGCTGCTGCCACTGTGCCAATCCATCCCGTTGGGGGTCTTCCTCTTTTTTGCTGACCCTCCACTTTACCAAGCATGATGTCCTTCTCCAGAGACTGGTCTCTCCTGATAATAAGTCTGAAATATGAGCGATGAAGTCTGGCCATCCTGGCTTCTAAGGAGCACTCTGGTGTGTATAGCATGCCATGTAAGGCATGTGTAGTAAACGTGGGTTTACCATGCACCTTCAGTTTGTAAAAAACACAGTATCTTTGAAGTGCAGTAAAATGAGGTATGCATGTAGTTATTTTCATGAGTACTAAAACTGAAGCTCTTGGTAGAGATCTAGGCTAGAGATGGAGGACTCAGGGAGTCAGTACTGATCCCTCTCACCGATACTGGGTTTGGTCAGCTGCAGTTTTTGAATGAGTTTTTGGTTACCTACCAAATTTAAAAACCTATGGTCACTGCTTTGTAGATTCATACTCATCAGGTCAGGTTCCTTAAACAAAAGAAGGCAACCAGTAACGCTCCTCTTTTGGTTTTGTGGTCCGGTTGATGGGATAGAATGGAAAATAGACTGTGCCTCACCTTTTTAATGTGTGATGAGAGAAGACCAAACCTCGTCGAAAGTGTCTCTTTGCTGTTGGTGTGCTGACTCTTCAGTGGAGGGTTCTTGTCTTTGCTGACCAAGAATGATTAGGTTAGATAGACAAGAGTTTCACATGAGCAAAAGATGAAAAGATTGATTGAGAGGAAAAGATCTGGCCTGAGGGGATGAGGAGGGCTCTAGGCAATGCTAACCGTGGTCTCTCCCAACAGAGGCTTTGCTGGAGTCCCGGTGTGGCACTGTAGAATAAGCACTGGACTGCAAGGATGATAGTTCAAACCTACCAGCCACTCCTTGGAAACCCTGTACAGGGCCGCTATAAGTTGAAACTGACTCATTGGCATTCAACAACAACAACAGAAGGTTTTAGTGGGAAAGGCATCATGTTATTCATAGGGGTAGACAGGGATTTCCAGGAAGTGGCTCATTTAAGATGGACCATGCTTATTAGGTATGTGCGACATTTCTTCAAGATTGATTCCAATGCAAAGGGCTGGTTGGGGCAGACAAACTTCTTCTGGGATGTCGAACCTATGTGGTTCTTCGAAATCCTGGTTCAAACTCCCTCCCAGGACTGGTGTTCTTCTCTGCCCCCAGCAGAAAGTAGTCCTTTGAAGATATACCTTGGGCACTAGGTAACTCAGTCTGGTCTATAAAACATCTTACAAGGACATAAAATAAGGAATTTTTTTTTGTTATTCTTAATGGCTTGTGGCCACTCAGGTATGTACACTAAGTACGTCTTGCACATCTGTACAATTGCTCAAGCAAGCTGGCCTTAGTATACCTTAAGGTTTTAGTCTCAAGATTTCAGTCATTAATATTTAATCCTGATTTCTGGACCCCCTTTTTCCTTGCCTCACTTCCGTCTTGATAGATTTCACATGTAATCCTTCTTCAGGCTAAGCCAGGTTACATGTCCTACCTGACAGAGTGGAAGTCTCTTGCTGACTGCTCTTGTTTTGTTTGCTACTAGGACTTCTTTCTTTGGGATAGGCTGAGACCTAGCATGACTATAAGTTTAGTTTGAAATGACTGCATTTTTGAGGATGTAAAATTAGCTAGTAAATTGAGTATGCATGGACCAAAGATTAATTGCAATAAAAAGTAGTATTGTAATGGTTATGAGTTGGACTGCTAACCTCAAGGTCAGCAGTTCGAAACTACTAGCCATTGGTAGGAGAAAGATGAGGCTTTCGGTTCCCATATAGATTTACCCTATGTAGGGTTGCTATGAGTCGGAACTGACTCTACCTTACAACACCACCAAAGGTCTCAAAAGGGTGAGAACTAGGTAACTGACAGCAAATAGCCCTTGATGTGGTTCTATACTGTCTTGTTCATCCGGGACTGAGCTGTCTTTCCTGTCGTGGGATGTGTAAGGTCTTAGTCTTGACTTCACTTGAAGTGTTAACAAAAGTGCAAGAAGAGGTGGTAGCTGGGGCACACACTCTACCCTGTTGGCTAGGAAACAGTATGAGAAGGGGCTCCACCATCTTAAAGCTGTGTGCTGGTTGAGATCGGAACCTGTACCCAGCAGGGACTAAATGATTGCTTCCTGATGTGGGGAGTGGACTCGTTGTAGTAAAGATAGTTAAGGAAGAGCCTGACCAGAGTTATTCCTGTGATAAGCATTACTTACCTAGTGGCATTTTCATCTTAAAGCAGCTACTTGGACTCCTGGTGTGGCGCTGTAGGATCATCAGCACTGGACTGTGAACCACAAGGTTGGCAGGTCAAACCCACCAGCTGCTCCTTGGAAACCCTATACAGGGTTGCTGTGAGTCAGAACTCAACAGCACTTAAACAATGACAACAGGCCTGTCTTAGGCTCACAGTTATACTGAGGCTCTTCAGTGGGTGCGTCCTCCTCAGACTGTGCCCTTTGGCTTCCTGTGACCCCCCAATGACTGATAGTCATCACTGGAGAGTAGGACTGGCTTTGGGGCCAGAACCAAGAAGCCAGCTCCCATGTGTAATACAAATTCAGTCTCCTCACCTCCCATGTCAAGAGTTATTGTTGAGGCTCTGCTGTGGGGATTGTGATGACCTTCTGGCTGAGAGTTAGTTGGACTTGTGGTGGTGCTTTCTAGAGCCATTGAGCTGGGTCCTATTTATAGCAACCCAGTGTAGGGTTTCCCAGGAGCGGCTGGTGAGTTTGAACCGTTGACCTTGCAGTTCAAACAGACCTTGCAGTCCAGTGCTTATCCTAAAGCACCACACCAGGACTCCATCAATAGGGCCGCCCTTCTTCTTTCCAGGAAAAGGATATCACCCCTGGTGGAATGTGTGAGCTGGCCTCCAGGGGATGGATGCTAACTGGGAGCCCTGTTTAGGACACTCAGGACACTCAACCTTCCTCTGGCCTTTTTGCAGCACTTAAACTGGTCTGACTCAACACTTACTGACGAGGAGACTCCCATGTAGGTCTTAGTCCTTGGGATCCAGTAGGGCTCCTTGAGGTGGACTTTGGAGTGTCAACTGCCAACAATTGAGCCTTCCTTTTTATTTTGTCATAGACTTTCAAGTCTCTTATTTATTACCCTGAGGGCTTTCTCAATCCAGGCCTTTATTCTACAGTGCCTCTGGGTGGGTTCAAACTGCCAACCTTTTGGGATTTACTGTTTGCACAACCTAGGGACTGTTAGTTGGTGCCATGTTGTTAACTGCTGCCGAGTCGATTCTAACTCAGTGACCCTGTATAGGGTTTCTGAGGAGAGGCTGGTGGGTTTGAACCACTAACTTTGCAGTTAGCAGTCCATTGTATCCTGTAGTACCACACCAAGACCCTAGTTGGTGCCATAACTGCTTCTTAAATCTGAAGGTTCCAAGGAAACGCAGAGTAGCTTCTGTTCACAGAAGTTTGGGAGGAACTCTAGGATCCTGTTTGGCATCTGTCTGCAATCTGAAATGGGTAATACAAAATACATTAACTTCCTTTATGTGTTTTCTACCCCTTACAGCTGAGCTGAGAGAACACTTTGCACAGTTTGGTCACGTACGAAGGTGCACTTTGCCTTTTGTGAGTATTATCTTTGAAAAAATGATAATAAAGTTCTCCTCTTTAATTCTTTTTTTTTTTTTTTTAATGGGCATATGCACTTAATTTTAATTGTACAGATTTGAATATACACAGTTTCTCAGAAAATACTTCCAGCATAAATATTACATAAACATCCTCAGATTATGGTGTAATAACGTTAGAAATGAGTTGCAAAAACATAGGAAAATCGAAAGGAAATACTACAAAAACTGTACTACTTGAAAGACATATGAAAACCCTGTTTGCCAGTTCCTCCAGGCATTTTGTTGTGGCTAGGTGCTGTCCAGTTGGTTCTGACTCGTAGTGACGCTCTGTCCAACAGTGAAACACGGCCCTATGCTGCACCATCCTCACATTGGTACGTTGTTTCAGCCCATTTATGCAGCTGCTGTGTCAATCCATCTCATTAAGAATCTTTGCCTTTTTTTAAGTTTTTTATTGTGGATTGAATGAAAGTTTACAAGGCAGACCATCAGTTTTACATTCAACAAATCATACACCTTGTTTCTTTACAATGATTATAATCACCTCCATGTACCATCAGGTCTAACAGTATTTCTCTCTATCTAACTTTAGCTTTTTAAAAAACAAACAAACAACAAAACCACTCAGGCATGTATAATGATTTACATCTCCAAAGGGCACATTCTGCAAGTCTGCTCTAGGCCACCAGCTCTTAGTCCCTCTCTTCTTAGTCCATGAATCTAGAGTCCTCAGCCACTCCCTCTCCATGCCCCCATCTTTGCCTCCATCTCTGGCGCTGCTGCTTCTCTGGATAAGGTCCCGCATTCTGCTTATGTGTTTCTCTCTTGATGGTCGGTCCTAGGGTCATCTGTTTCTGGACTGTAAGATTAACCATTCCCCTGGTTTTTATTACAAAACTTCTAGCTTTACAATTGTGACAGTCACAACTAGTCATGATGTCAATTTTTCACTGTGGAATCTTATGAATCTTATCCCCATCTCTACTCACCAGACCCATCTAGACAAGATGCCAGCTGTTCAGTGGGGACTCTTTCTTTCCCTCC